GGTGGCTCTGGAGAGCGCTGCCGGAACCATATCGATAAGGTGGACGTCGAGGCCGTACATGGCGGCGAGCTGGGGGATGCTGGAACCCATCTGCCGACCTCCCAGTCTCCCACCACGCCTACGCTCTTAAGCTCCCTTGGTCTTCCTTTTCTCGGAATATCACATAAACCGATGGAACTGTGAGGGCTCAACCGTCCGCAAGGGTTTGCTGCAAATAATCCATTTCGACGACAAGGTTTTGCTGCGTTCAACAGTTAACAATGGCTGAAGAAAGGATTCACTCAAATTGAAGGACTTGATTTTCATGAGACCTTTGCCCTTGTTGTTAAAATGGTCATTGTGAGAACATTACTTGCTCTTGCTTTGATTAAGCGTTGGGAACTACATCAATTGGATGTCAATAATGCCTTGTTGCAAGGTGAGTTACATGAAGAGGAACTTATGAAAATACCACAAGGTTTTATTTCCAACCAAAGCAACAAAATTTGTAGGTTGCAGAAATCACTTTATGAACTACGACAAGCATCTAAGTGAATGCATAAGAATAGGAGTTTTTGGGCTTAAATGAACATATTTTGAAAATTGAGGGCCCAAATTGCAAGAAGGAAGGTGTTATCTTGGGATCTAAGTGAATGAATATTGAGTTTTGGGATCTAAATGCTCAGTATGAAAATTTTGAAAGACCAGTTTTGCGATTTTACCATTGAAGAAATTGCAAAAAAAAGACAGAAACCCGACATGGGTGTGGTGTCGACCCATAATTTTGGTGTCGACACCTTACGGCAAGCATTCAAAATCACAGTTTCTGTCACTTATTCTGCGGCGACAAAATGCAGGCTAAAGTTTTTTAACAACTTGGAAGTGCTCTTGTGTTAATATATTAGAATGGACTAATCTTGTAAATTTATGCCTTTCAAATTAAAATATTTATGGGTTTGGGGTACCCCTTGTATTCCGTTTTTAATAAATTGAAAGTGCTCTTGTGTTAATATATTAGAATGGACTGATCTTGTAAATTTGTGCCTTTCAAGTTAAAATATTTATGGGTTTGGGGTACCCCTTG